AGACGGGAGTACAGAGTCCACAGACAGCTTGTTAGTGGATAATTGCACGAGTAGTTTGGTTTAGCGCGACTGCTCTTGCCCAATCAGCAGAGGAGCAAGTACAATAACCCCGCACCACTGTCTGAGGCAGCGATAACACAATCCCCTCAGCGCGCCTAGCACCGTACCAAGCCCCAGCACAGCTCAGTCCTCAATGGCCTAGAATGCTACCATTGAGCCCCGAGAGCCTCGGGAGTCTTCCAGATCTTCGCACTCTTCGCACATGGTCATGTCATGACGGCGCAGCTGATGGTTTCTAATCTGGTCGTTGTTTTTTGGTAGCATTGTCCAATAAGACATTGTACACAAACTACTAATAAATTAGAGCTCCACTGGTGAATATCGGAGTCTTCGGGGAGCCCGACATACGTTGATGCCATCATAGTAAGGTAGTCAGCTTAGTTAGTATCCTGCTCAGACCCTCTTACGGAGATTATTGTCATCATCCTGATGACAGTCCACCCGAGACCGGCGCGCATGGACAGAACATAGACGGCCGAGGATACTTGAGTGGGCTTTTGCTGAGCGTGTCAGAGCTCCAGTTGAAAAGAAAAGGAATTGACTATATCTGTCGGCTGGGATGAATCATTATTGATGCTTTTCCTCAAGTCAGTAGATAATTGTTCTCAATGTTCGTGCACCTTGTCAGATGATACAGATAGCCCAGGATCTCGTCATGACGCAGAACATCAGCCGCATTCGTACCATGGCCATTAATCAGACTTTCAGCTTAGATCCTCCAAGCCACCATCAGACTAGTGCGATGAGGATTGTCACTGAAACAGAAAGGATAAGCCGTGTCTCAAGATTGAGGAGTCTCTTCCGGTCGTTGGATAAGATAGCGACCGACGTCAATAGCAATCGCACTTTGCCTGGTTCACAGACAACAGGCGCATTCAGATCAAAAGCTGGGGAGAAGGTGTCATTCAACCCGTGGGGATTGTTGAATCGAGCCAACGCTTTTGTCCGACCTAACGCAGACGGTTAAAACAAGACTGACCTCGTCCGAGGGCGCGATAGTTCGGTCAGATTCCTACTTGGTAAGGTTCAGGTGCCAAGCTAGGCATTATTCTGGGGCACAATGAGCAAAGTACTCAATGTCCTTAACAGCCTTGTTATTGCCGTCTAAACGCCAGAAACAATACTGATCATCGAGCCCATGACTCCATAGCTTTATTGGCCTTCGTCATGGTCACGTAAAGGCCCGAGAAGGTAGCTTAGTGGATACAGTAGATAGACATAGGCTTAGCGTCAGTGTATTATTATTAGTGTCTCAGACTCTCAGTGAGGCTGTTGGCGTTCATTGATCGTCACCGTGGGGAGCACCTGCGAGGCGGACAACCCCCGCAGCACATCGATGAATCCCGGAGAAATCTTCTCAACCCCTGTGAATCCCAGGTAATTGATGAAAGTTGACTTGATTGAATAAACGGAGTACCAGGTTCATAAAAGCACTGTGAAGACTGCAGCACGGGGGCCGACCAATAACAGAATGCCCTTGAAACCGTCGGAAGGGATGGTGTGCGGAAGAAACCCCTAGTCAAGGATCGAGGAATGTCTGCACACAAGTAAGGGCATACAAAGGATATCCAAAGCGGGGGAGAGTTGCGAACGCGACAAGGAATACTCAGGAGGAGGGACTATGACGGAAAACCGCTTGGTCTGCTGCTAGCTTGCGGAGGGTCGCTCACTCGCACTAGCAGAATTGCGGGACTTTGATCAGAGGGGCGATATCAAAACAAGAATAATGATCTCAGTCAAGAAGCAAGTGTAAGACTGTAATCAAGGATGGACACATTACAGAAGACTGACCATCAGACCTCATAGTGGCCCAACACAGATGCCGGAGAAGTTGGTGGCAGATCCAGAATCCAGATGGAGATGTCATACCTCACTGGAGATGCCTCAGGCACAAGGCAGAGAAACTTGTTTTACAAACGGGTTTGGAGTTATGTCTTGTGTCACCTTCCCCTGCGTCTCTGAAATGTAGCTAACACCCTTCTGGACCGACTGTCGGGCTACTCGTCCTTAAGGGAGTCCCATTCTTCCATCCCCTTTGCTACCATATTTCTCCGCCCACAGTACATACCTATTACCTATTATCCTTTATTTAGACGAACAAACTGGACAAACTCATGTGATCCGCATAAGCTCTTTTTCCCGACTGAGTGGAGCGGGTGGAGATTTTATTAGTTTCGATCTTACCTTTTTTTTTTTTTTTTTTTTTGGAGCAGTATGAAACTCGAATTAGACGAAAAAGAGACTAAAAGAGGGCGAAAGATCGGCCGAGTCAATCAATCATGGGTTGCTTTTTCATAGTCTGTTCCCGATTGTGCCGTGTTCTTTTTCCCACGCCTCCGTATCGACTTTTCTTTTTAGGGTTTCTTTCAAGGGTCTCCAAAGACTCAAACATTGAAACACTGCAAAGAGGGTAAAAAGTATGCTGCTTGGCTTTATCCTAGCATACAGCAGGGTATGAAAAAAACCCCAAAGTAGGTAGTTACTGTAGTATTAGTCGTCGTCAAAGTCTTGAATGGAAATCTACAATCCACAGCCACGACTAATCAGCGCGGCTGAACCTCTCTACTCCGAAAAGTTGAGCCTCCTTCGATGGGGTCTACAGCGGGTGATATCTAGCGTCTCAGCTATTACTTTGCTTATTGCATCGTAATACTGTCCAGCCCGACTTCTTACCGACTATCAATTTTATTCGAGACTCGCTGACACCTGTCGGCCTTTTGCTCCCAAACCACAGCTGTCAACGTAAATATGAAATGGAGACCTAAGGCTTTTCTCAGGCTCCATTATGGCTCCGTACCAGACCAGGACGCCGACCCAAAGAAATCTTCATCACGCCCCGTCCAAGGAAACCACAAAGAATGGATAAGGAAAACGTAGAGAAAGACTAATTCCTTCTGTAACCCGTGAGACACTGCACGACCCATACTTGATACTTCGTCCAGCCAGCCCAGATTGGTAGAGACAAAGCGGGCGGTGCAGCAACGACGCTGATAGGCGAAGGGTTGCTGAGCAGCCGGTAGCGCTGATAATGGCGGCAAGGGAGTCCCGGCAACGAGGCCCCAGACGCTGGCTACTGGCTGAGTACAGATGCACTAACTATCTAGGTACTAGGTACTTGGTACCTAGACTAATTACCTACAGCTACAGTGGGGGATGAAGTACAGACAGGTACAGGTACCTGTCTGTCCCATACTGTACTGTCTGTACGGGTACCTACTTACGTATGGACTATGGAGTAGTCCATACAGGCTGTAACCTGTATGGTACCTACCCAGCGAAGGTAAACTGCCTCTCGTCATAGGTACTCTCTAGGTACCTCTCTGCCTTGCTACCTACTACTTACTACGACTCCCTACCTACGTAACTAGGTGCAAGTTAGTTGTAGCCAAGGGTTATCCTCCGAGAAGGACTGACTATATTGGAGATTAACCTCACAAGTTGATATACTGGTTTCCTAGATCTTGATTTTATAAGATCCTTTCGTGGTCAATTATTTTGAAAAGTAGACCTTGCAGACTCTCTCTTCGTCTGTCTGTCCTCTGTACAGACCGAACACATACCTAGGTACGGTTCGGAGGTGGTATTCATCTATCTAGCGCTGCGTCGTCGCTTAAGCTCTTTCTTGAGCATCTGGAGATCCCTCCCCACTTTTTCGTTGCCATTGCAACAGGACATCCCTTCAGCTTCACCTTTTTCCAGGTCACACTTCCTTTTTCTTCTCCTTCTCCTCCTCCTTTTCTACAAGTCGTCGTCTTTCTCTTCGAGTTTAAGACCTCGCCGTCTTCTCTTTTCCCATGGTCACTACGCCTGTGATCCTCTCTCGGCCTCCATCCCGCTTACGGTTCTCGTTTCCTCATCGGTAACTTTGCCCCCCCGGCCTACTTAGCGTACCAGAACTACCCTCGCTTTCAGCTTGCTGGTTTGCTGCTTATAGGGAGTGGTTTTGCTAACCAATGCCGTGTTGATCATTGCAGTCCTTCTTCCCGTCCTCGAGTCCTCCTTCATCCTATACCGTCTTCAAAGATACCCTGATTGGTCCTACTGCCCTAACCTATCTACGCAACCATGTCCCTCTGAACACTCGGCCTTCGCAGCGCAGGGAAAAAGTTCCGGTCCAGGCCGGTGGATTCGTGGGATTTAGAAAGGCGTTTTCCACGATTTGTGAGGTCTGGAATTCGAGCAGGACACGCAATTGAGGAAAAAGAACAGAGAGTCGAAGACCGGGTTACAAGGCGTTTGACCATACTTCATCTTGCCGTTGTAGTATATGCCAGGTAGAATAGTCTGCAGCAGGAGCTGTCGTTTGCCGAGGAGATCCCCTTGCGTCCGCTTTTCTACTTCGGTCGATACTACCTTGCAGATCTAGGAGGGAAGGCAACATTTGTTCCTAGCGAACAATGGAACATTCATCTCCGCTGGCTGCCATGCAGCCCCCGTCCGTGATGTTCGGACACTGCTTTCGTTCGGATGCTCCCACATCGTACCCAACCTTTGGTCCAAGGTCCGGGCTTGGTCCGAACAGTTTCAACTTCAAGGACTTGTCCATGAAGAAAGCCTCCGGCGATTATTTTGGCATGAAGCCGGTTCGGGGATCGTCTCCAACGGCTAGTCTGGCAGCGGACCTGTCCCAGAATTTTCACATTGACCAGAGGTTGGCAGATGCCCTTCGCTGTTTATTCTGTTTTCTTTGTCATGCTTCATGACTTTCTTTGACTCGTGCAAGACAAAGGGTGTGTGTGCTGACCAAAAATAGTCCGCAGTTGGCTACGCCCCGACGGTCTTTGTTCTCCTCCAATCTATTCGGACATGGCAGCGGACGTGGTAAGAGATGATATTACTACCGAGGACACACTCGTTCGAGTCCCAGTCTTTGCTCATGCTGTTATATAGAAGACGCGATGACCACTCCTCCTCTTCCATCTTCCTCACCGGCTCCCATCATGGAGACCATGGAGATGTCTCCCTTGCCTCACAAGCCGCCGTTCATTGTCACAACGGAAATTGAATTGAACCCACCTACACCAGGAGGTTCTCCAATCGATTCGCCCATGATGTCGGCTGCTCCCAGTCCGCTTCAAGAATCTCCGTTGATGGGCCCAAAGGAGGACAAACAAGAGTAAGAGAATGAAGTCTATACGCTGGAGATTGGAGTCAACCATTGTGCATGTCTAATTACATTGCGTGCGTGTAGGAGAAAGCGTCCGAGTTTCTTGAGGCCCAGTCTCGCGAGAACCAAGGCCCAGTCCTTCCAGCTCGGCATGGCCAAACCAGCACCGGAAAGTCAAGCACCGCCGTTCAAGTTCCAGACCCGAGGGGCCAAGACGTCGTTGAGCGCTTCAACTTCTTTGGAGGATATGTTTGGGGAATCGCCGCAGAGAGAAAGGCCGATTGTACGGAACAATTCCAGCACTCTCCTGAACAACCCTCGCCTTAGACCACCGCTCGGCAGTGGCAGCAATGGGAGCCATGCCCGTGGAAACGGATCCCCCTCCGCTGCGTCGATTCGCAAGAGCTCGCACCCCCTGATGCGCCCTCGGAAACAATGCAGACGGTCACTGAGCATGTTTGAGCACCCCGAGGATGTGATTGCCGAAAAAGAGGCCAATTATACTACAAATGCACCACTTCAATCGATCACAGATGTCGATACCACACCCAGCCTGCAGCTACCTCACTTCATCCCTGAGGACTCGGCTGATACATTGCCTCGCATCGACAAGACAATCCTTGTGGATCTCATGGATGGGAAGTACAACGATCGATTCGACCACATTATGGTCGTCGATTGCCGATTTGAATATGAATACGAGGGCGGCCACATCAACGGAGCGGTCAACTACAACGACAAGGAGTACCTGGCCGCTCAACTTTTTGCGGACCCAAAGCCTCGGACTGCATTGGTTTTACACTGCGAATACTCCGCACATCGGGCACCCATCATGGCCAAATACATCCGTCACCGGGATCGCGCTGTTAATGTGGATCACTATCCACACCTGACTTACCCGGATATGTACATTTTGGACGGGGGTTACAGCGCCTTCTTTGCTGATCATCGATCGCTATGCTTCCCCCAGAACTACGTGGAGATGAATGCCAAGGAGCACGAATTTGCCTGCGAACGAGGCCTCGGGAAGGTCAAGCAGAGATCGAAATTGAATCGCGCACAAACGTTCGCTTTTGGCCAACATTCGCCTCAAATGGAAGACAGCCCTACTGGAAGGTGCCGTAATAACCCAGGCGAACGTACTCGTTTCTTGGACTCTCCTTTTGAGGGGACGCCCTCCTCTCGCGGTCCTGGCCGCCGTATGCTGTCGTACTGATTACCACGACCAGCCGGTTGGCTTTTTCTTTTCTCTTTTTTCTTTTGCTGCCCTTGGCGCCATGGATTGATGATTTGATGTTATTCAAGCGCGGCGCAAAGTTCTTTTGCCAGCTTATTTTTCTTGAGCATGATCTCTTTTTGCTTTCTCCTTCTCCCTCCGGCTTCCAATTCTATCCAGACCCCTTCAGGCAGCCGTTATCGGCGTTGGACCACCAGACCTAGCTGGACATTGGGGGAAATGACACTTGACAGCACCTTGCGGCAGAGGACATCCTCTCACCGTCTACTACAAGCTCCTTCCACTCGCTTGATATTTCCTTTTCCCTTTTTTTCTGGACTTCAGACTCACACCGGGAGTGTGACCGCGGCGTCGATATCGAACCCTGGCGGCTGCGACATACCGACCCACACGACCTTTGATGACACGATCAGCATTGACCTTGCATCTCTGCGCATTTTCCCGAGCTCGAGATTGTATCTTCGACAGATTCATCTATGGCCGATTTTGGTCACCTTTACTCCTTACCACCCGCTCTCTTACAATATTTCCTATGTGTCCTACGACTATTTCCTTCTCATTGAAACCAACATCTGCGCGGTAACCACTTGCATCCACTAGATACCTCGCCATCGTGGCATTTCCTTACTCGGAGCTTGAGTTTCCTCATTTACATCCCTTACAAGTGTTTTAATCCCTCCTTCGCCGTTCCTGTACAATTTCTGAGGAGTGAGTCCAATATCTCGCCGTACGAAGTACATATTACTACACGGCTCGCCAGATCAGAAGGGCGATAATCTTCCACGCATGACAACTTAATGAGGAAGCTATTTGCTTGCATTGTTAATCAGCAAATTTCTTCGTGGAGTGTCACTGCAACTGTACATAATAGACGCCTCGTGGTCCGTTGGTCCATCCGACTTCTAATGGAGAGAAAATTGGGAGAGAATCGAGAGGCTGAAGATTACGATTTCCTTTGTTGGAAGAACATCAATGAAAAAAATCTTACAATACATCCTTTTAACAATTGTAAAATGTATCTTACATCTGTAATATCCTATCCCATGGGTGCATTGATATACTCGAATCGAACAAAGGAAGAAACCTGAGGCATCAATCTCCGCTCCGCTTTGTCTTCAATCTCCAAATCCATCTCCGCTCTCTCTTTTCCCAGTGACATCCACCAGCCATTGTGCTCCCTCTCAAGGCTCAATGCTGTACGACATCTGTCATGGACATCGATGACATTCTCGCGTCCGTCGACCGCCATGACACCTCGCCCGAATCCGCGGCCCTAGACCACCAGCTCCTGACGCGTCTCTGGGTCGCAGAGCGAGCCGTCTCGGAGCTCCTCCCATGGCCTGCACCATTGATGGAACGGATGATGGAGCGAGTCAGGAAGCAGGTCAGCATTTCCACCTCTCCTACAAAAAGACATGAGCCATGAGTCATGAGTCATGAGTCCTGACCTTGTGACCAACGCACAGATCGAAAGAATCGAAGACCTCGCCGCCTCGTCCTCAGACCCCTACACCACAACAGCAACGAGCACCAACAACCCCACGCTGAACCTCAAACTCTCAATCCTGCAGACCGACCTCGCCCGCACCCAGTTCCTCATCCGCTCGTTTCTCCGCCAGCGCCTCGCAAAACTCACAAAACACAGCATGCACTACCTCCTCCTCGTCGCGCCACCCCGCGCCTCCCAAGCCCCCTCCTCGCAGCAATCCCACACACAGACACCAGAGGACTCCATACCTGACCCAACCGACAACCCGGACCCGGCCCCGCTCTCCGCGCAGGAAGCTGCCTTCCTGCATGCGCATCAGACGCTGCTGGCGGGGCACTACGGGGCGTCGTTTCTCAACTCGTTCCCGCCGCAGTTGAGGCGGTTGGATGATAATGCGGGCGGGACGAGTATGGTCCAGGGGCCGGAGATGCGGGAGGCGGTTGTGGTGAGGTGTCTTGCGGAGGAGGTGAGGGTTGTTATTCCGCCTGGGGATGGGATCGACGAGGAGCTGTTTGGGACGACGATGCGGATGGGGGATGTGTGGGTTGTCAGGTGGGAGGGGATCAAGGGGGCGTGGGAGAAGGGGGAGGTTGAGGTTCTTTGATTTCATTTCTGATTTGGGGGGGAAGACTACACTACATAGCATCTGCCGGCGTTTTGAGGAGTTGATTTTCAGATGGTACATACATACCCAGACAGGCTGTATATGAAGTCAAATCGACGCATTCCTGCTAGTGAATAGTAGCTGCTCTTGTAGATAAGCTGATATCAAACATCGCAATCATCCCTCGTAGTGGGCCAAATGCATTCATTCGTGAGCTAAGACGCGAGGAAAAGCTGAACAAGCGAAGAATATCTATATCAATGAACCATGACCCCCTTTCGCCAGTCACCGCTAAGTTCAAAATTATAACATGCAAACGTACTATGAGGGGATTGTCCGCCAAAGAGACCAGTACGTACGAGTCTGGCCACATGTGCTCGTAGATCAAAGCCAAACGGTTCAAGCGAGGACGGATACAAATGCAATCAAGCAATGTAACCGTAAGTCGGAGGATCCTCAGCCACACGCTCGAGATATTCACGGTCAATCAAACTCTCAATCCGTTTCTTGACCATATTCACATCTGGAACGAATCGCGCAGACAACTGGCCTAGCACCTCGCTCATAAGACTCGAGTGGACCAGCGTTTTGCGTTGCCTAAAAGGTAATTAGTCTCATTGTCACTGAAAGTCGTGAAAGAGCTTACTTCATGATGCGAACGATTGCCGCCTCAATACTGGCCCCTCGCTCCTCATTCATCTTGTTCTCTGTTTCCTTTCGCTGGTCCTGATTCTCGACCTTGTTGGCACCACCACTGACGACACCAATGCGAACTTTCATAAACTGGCTCTGGAATTCGTTATTGAAAAAGAACTTGTCTGCCGGTTTCACATCCTTGCTCATGGGCTCCTTCTTCAGAACCCGCGTTTTAGGTGCGACAGCCAGTGATTGCAAGTTTCGAATCAGGTCGTGCTGCGGAATGCGCGTCCGCTCCTGAATCTCTTCGAACGTGAGTGACTCGCCTGTAGGTACGTCGTTGAAAAGGAGGAGTATGATCATGGCGTATGTGGATACATTGAGTTCATGCCGTTGGACCTTCCCACTCGATCGTTGAAACGTCGCCCGGATGTCAGCGGTTCCCATGCTCGGTTGCCATGATAGCTTCCTGCCGTTGTGTTTGTTGAGATAGAATTGCTCAAAGCTCTGTTTAACGCTCTCGACCTCTTTCGGAAGGATACATGGGAGCTGGACTTCTCCATCTTTGGGGTTCGACATGATCTCCATCGGCCACATGGTGCTGGTGAGGACGTTGATTTCCAAGTCAACCCGTTTCTGGTCCGGGTCCCCTGACTTCCGTATATGCTCTTTGTAGCTGGCAGATAAATCTTCTGAGATGGTCATGTCCTTGAACATGGCCTCCAAGCGCTGTGTGAACTGGTTTCCAACCTCCATCTTCATCTTCGAGATCATCTGCCGTTCAGCATCCATGCTGGCGGACCGCTTCATGAGGAGACGGCGAGAAAGATGTTTCTTGTAATAAGTCTCGAATAAATCCTTATCCTTGATATACCGCAGCAGAGTGATGCCGTTGTCAAGAAGGGAATCCACCTCACTTTCTGTCTTGCCTTTGATGCCCTTTTTCAAATTCTCGTCGAAGAAGAGAGAAAGGAACTCAGAACTGCGTGCATTTGAGTTGATGAAGTCCGAAAAGCTAGTAGTGATTGCACTTTGCATGCCCTGGTCTGACAAGAAGGCCTTCTCCCAGATATTGTCGAATTTCCTCTTGAGAGCTAGGATATCATCAACCCACTTGATAGCAGCCACTGTTTGCTGGTTCACAGGCTTTTCTTTTTCTGCGGGCTTCTTCTCGCCGCTGGGACTCTTTTCCGTTGCTTTCGAACCAGCAGATATTGACGACTTCTCATATGCTATGGACGAGGCATTGATCTCTCGACCCATCTGACTGATCCGTTTCTGGACTGCCGTGGTGAGAGGTGTCTTTTTGTTGTCAACCCGAGCGCTAAGTTCATAAATGTCTCGCAAAATATCCACCCGATCGTTGTCAAGCAAATTCCTGACACCCGTGCCTTCAAGATTGATGACCTCTTCGATGTTCCTGGCAATTAACTCTTGATCGAGGACATTCTTGATTTTTGGCTCAGTAAGGGGCGAGAGGGTATAATGGCATCGTTCTTTCTCTTCGGCAATCCGGTTCGAGGCGATCCGACAAAAGGAAGCTGCATCGGCCATTTCCAACAGACGTTGCCCTTCAGCTCGATAGAAAACCTTGCTTGTTTCGAGGAAAGCAGGTTCGAACATGGTCAGATAGAGTTTTGATGACTCCTCCTCCGTGATAGTTTCATAGAGACCCTCTAGCATGTAGATACAATGCCGGATGAGGGGACGGTCAATGACGTGACCAGATCGTTCCAATTGAATCATGAACAGCACAGTGGTCTCAAGCACATCGGCAACTGTGGTTTTCGTGTCAGGTTGAATGGGAGATCGCAGGACTTGGTCGCGAAATAACGCCATGGAGGCAACATATATTGAAGGCTTTCGAAAGTCCGCCATGATGATTCGATCCTGTATGGTAAGAAGATGTCAGGTCCGAATCCAGCGAACACAGAGAAGCGATGGACAAACCATGTACATGAGAACGTCTGTAACCATTCCCATGCATAGTTGATGATCTTCCCATGCACCCTTGAGCACAGTCAAGAACTTCTCTCCTGCTTCCCTTCGCTCGCTGGCTTGGTCTTGCATATCTGCAGGCTCCTGCGCCAGCAGTAATGTCGGCGAAATTGCTGCAGTCACTGTTTTCTTTACCTCGCTTCCCAGCCATTCTTCCTCCAACTTCTTTACTCGTTCGTAGAGGTCATCACCGCGGGTCATCAATACGATTCTGTAGGCGTTCCGGTACAGCTCTTCGAAGGAAAGAGCGGAGGCATTCTTTGTGTGTATTTCATTCAAAGAAGATGACAGCACCCCCCATATTGTGTCAAAATCGTCAGTCTTCGCCGCGCTCAGACCCTTTTTTCATTAGCTGATTGTTCGTCTCAGATAAAGCTCATGAGGTTCAGTCATCCCAGCTGCTGTCGTCGTTTTGAAAGACGAACAGTAGCATAGAGACGTCCAAATAGAATATGAAGAGAACAAATAACATACCCTCCGTGGGGCACGAATCTTGTGCCTAGCCCTCATAGCCATCTTCGAGATATTGGCAATTTGCCATCCACCAGATTGTAGACTTGGGGCACTTCCGCGGGGCAGAATAGTAGAACGCCGAGGAGGTGTGAGGTCGTGGCAGAAGGGCGGGCAAAATGAGCAGGGGCGAGAAAACTCTGATGATTAATACCAGCAATATCAAGTCTTTCTCTTCATCATCAAGATAATCATTAATGAATTGTGTTGATGGTATAAGATCAGACTTGAAAGTTGCTGCGGAGTGAAAAGAGCTGGAAGAACCTATGTCCGGCGCAATTGGAGAAACCGTCGTCATCGCCGCCGGAGATCATACTTTTAGTCCTCAGTTTGCAAGTAATCTGACGAATCTGGCTATTCAGTTTCTGAGCCAATTCTCAAACATTACTCCGCCTCTCATCTCTATCCTTCCATCTATATCCTCAGATCAAATACCTCATAATGCGCTCAGCAAGAATGCTATCATCCGGCCTCCGTGCCTTCAACTGTGCGCTTTCGCGGACAATGCTCTCACAACCCAAATCGCGACATTTCTCTCAGCTTCTCTCACACACTCCTCAACCTTCACCAACCCCATCCTCGAGGCTCCTCAGGACTACATTTCCCCAACTCGCCGTCCGAAACAACTCCAGCTCATCATCATCCTCCCCCCCAAACCTCACCGATCAAACCCCAAACGCCGCTCAGGACGCAGCCAACGAAGAACAGAACAGGTTACGCCGCGAGCAAGAACCCGCATATCAGATTACATTCACCTGCAAACCATGTGGTCATCGATCTTCGCACCGTATGTCTAAACATGGCTATCACCGCGGGACGATCCTCATCCGCTGCCCTTCTTGTCTCAACCGCCACGTTATCGCCGATCACCTCAATATCTTCATGGATAAGAAGAGTACCCTCGAGGATATCCTACAGCGGGAGGGGAAGCGATTGACTCGTGGTTATGTTGACGGAGACATGGAGTTCTGGGAGGATGGGACGGTAAAGAAGCGCGAGGAGGCGGGTGAGGGCTCGGAGGCGAAGTAGGATCAGGGACCGACACCTTGATTCATTGGTCGAGCTTTTCCGGGTTTCAATCTTTTACAGAGGAAATGCCTACGCGGCTTAGCACAGGCTGATGGCGTTCAGTTGCTGCGTTGATAGGCGAAAGTGCTCGGAGCATGCTCAATGCGAAAATAGAGGCGTTAGATGGTGTTGACATTGGTAGAGATACATTGAGCACTGTTTGTATATATCAACTCCACTTCCTGTTAATGTACATCAGATTCAACTAATGTTCTTCGATGAGTTCTTTTGGTATCTTAGGCGGGCAAAGGCGCAATGAGCGATAAGATATACATCAATAGGCATAGTGTGTGGGCTGAGTCTAGAACACATTGCAATAGGATATCACTCATTTATATACACTGCTCCCAGCTCTTGCAATAGACAACATTATACCTCCATATGTACTCTATCTCATAATCCAATCATACTTTTTGTATCCCCAAACGCCCAGCCAGTGCAACAATATCCCAGTGGACAAACAAATTTAAACCAGACAACGGCATCTACCAGCCGCGTCTCTTTCCCCGTTGTTCCATTCCTTTTTCCTTGCGTTTCTCGCGCTTGCGGTCGTTTCGTCTCTTTTTGTCCCGTTCGTATTTCTCGGGTTCTGCTACCGCCTCAATGCGTCTCTTCATTCGACGACCCTCACGTCGCTCCTTGATGGAGTCCTGGACAGACGCCATCTGGGTGATGTACTCCGTAGTGCCCAATTTCTTCTGAAGCAGGTCGAGGACTTCATGGCAGTTCGCGACCAGTGCCTTGTATGATTCCCGGAAGCGTTCATCTGACGAGCGAGGAGCGGGAAT